CTAAAGCTTCGGCTGTCCATTAGTGAAGAAAACGTTAACTTTTGAATTGGTTCGATTTTAAAATGTAGATAACTTTGAAAGATGAATCCTGTGGGGCTATATGACCAGACTCTAAAAGTTGATCACAAATAGACGACTACGAAGTTGTACGTTCGCCTTTCGTTAACCGAACCGGATAGTGTTCAGCTACATGTTTTCGAAGATTACGCTTACAAAGTTCAATATAATCACCTCCACAAGAGCAGGTAAAAGATTAAATGTACATAGATGTGGACAAAAGCGGTAATCTATCCTTGGCCAATGGTCTAATCACATGTCGGCTGGTAAAAACTAGTTGCGAATCAGCTGCAGGAAAAGTGCGTTTAATAAATTTAGATAAACGATTTTTAATCAACTCAGAAATCGTGTCACCTTTCAATGCAAAACTCGTAAACTTTTTTCTTTGGCACTATGATTTGTCTAGCAGGGCGGATTTTTCCTTGATGTTATGTTCAATAAACCTTGTAGGATATCCAATTGGTAGGGAGATTGGATCGAAGGTTATCTTCTTTCATGTTAAGCTAGAAATAAGAGACAACTGAACGCTGTTAAGGTTCTCTCGAGGGTTGCTTAGTGCGTGTTTCGGTACACGAGGAAGCATGGTGCCACTCTAGCTCTTGAACTGACACAAGCTTGCTTTCTTTGTTATTTTGCATGACTAGTCTTTATTCTGATCCTCCGGTACCTAGCCAACTTTGCATGACTTCTTCAGTTGTAGTGTTATCGGGTCCTTTTTCACTGCTTACACGGAGATAACGTCGAGTTTGATGTTTTTCCGGTTTTCTGCATTTCTATGTTCATCAGGATATCTGCTGTCTTTGAAAGGTTGGTAGGCACTGGTATTGCTGCTCCTGCTGTTGTTGTTGCAGGCCACGCTGTAGAAGAGGGTAGATCAAGAAGTCGTTTGAAGTGTTCATACCGTATTTTCTTTGCTCCATCTCATGGATGTTTCACTTTCCATGCTCAGCATTCCCTGGCCTAATTTGTGCTGCTTTAAAACTTCTTACAAGCGTGTGATGCCATGTGTATTGCAGAATACCAGAAAGGTTTTGAAAATACTGACACGCTTGCCTGGAAATTCAATTCAAGAGAATGCCGCTTTTCAACCGGGCTGTTCATAGGCTTTAATGACTGAGAGTGCTCAGAGACTGTCAGTCACAAATAGAGAGTAAAACACTTGTAAGTTCAACCATGAATAAGATTTACTAAGACTCCAAGATGATTTGCATTTATGTGAGGTGAGGACATTCGACTAAAATACGACAGTTGTACTGGCGAATTGTTCATACATCTTAACTTCTGTGACAAACGCAGTATTGATCATCAAAAAAAATTGCTGTTGTGCAGGTGAATCTGATGATCTGAAATTTTTTACGCCAAATAAACAGTTCTGTTGAAGCTACCACAAATGAAAGATATTTACGAATATCTGTTTATACCTTGACCAAATTTTTTCTCAAACTATTCACAGTACGTTAGTTGGCATTGCCCAACGCTTCATGTGATTGAATGACAACCTCGCCTAGACTACTAGCTTGATATATTTCTGGCCGGTCCCAAGCCCGGATAAAAGAGAAGGTTGGAGTGTAGTTCTAGCAACACCATCCCCAAAACCTAACCAAACCGCTACAGAAACTTCAATGCACAGATATATTAAAAATTCTAAAAATATAAACAATAACCTTATTTTTCGATGGAATCGGGGAAATGAATTTACGCAGGCTGATGAAAGCCTTCGGGACGCCAGTCAGCCGATGCGCCTAGTTTCGGTGAAAGCAGAAATAAGGATGAGAAGGTAAAATGTTCTTACGAAACAGGAAAGGCTGCCCAGGTAGCAGCAGAAATGAGGAGATATAGAATAGAAGTGCCAGGAATCTGCGAGAGCAGATGGAACGAATATGGTAGAGGTCAACTTCTAACTGGGGAGACAGTTATCTATTCCGGCCACCCAGAGGACAATCACGATCACAACGAGGAAGTAGCCATCATGATGTCACTAACAGCAGCCAAAGTTCTCATGCTGTCTAATCTAAAAAGGATTGAAGGTTAGAATCGTTCAATGCTATGCGCCTACAAACGTCTCAAAACAAGAAAAAAAGGTAGCGTTCTACAGACAACTACAAACAGTAAAGGACAACGTCCCAAATGGCGATATCAAAATCCTGATTAGTGATATGAATGCGAATCAGGGAGGAGACAATGCGCGAAGAGAACTCACTATGGGTCTAGAGGCCCTCGGTGAAATGAACGACAATGGTAAACTCTTCTCGGACTTCTGCGCTTTCAATGATTTGGTGATTGTTGGCAGTGTGTTCAAACACAAGGAACTACACAAGACGACATGCATTTCACCAGACGGAACATCAAAAGACAAATAGACTGCATTTTGATCTCAAGGAAGTGGAGACGGAGCCTACTGGACACAAGGTCGAGGAGAGGAGCAGATGTGGGTTCAGACCAATCTCTAGTACGAGGGGTTCGCAAGGCGGAACCCAAAGTCTTGAGGATATTTAGAGATAGGCCACAATGCAAGTTCAGCACTCACAAACTGATGGAGACAACCACGAAGGACACTTTCACTGCAACTGTCAGAGCAGAACAGGAAAAACTACGTGGTCCGACGGAAGAATCATGCGAAGTAGACCACTGGAACTCTCTGAAAGTGATTTTCAACGAGGCGTGTTCAATTGTTTTAGTAAGAACGAAGAGAGAAGACAAGGAATAGCTGTGAATGTACATTTGGAAGCTAAAAGAAGGAAGGAGAATGGCGAAGGAGAAAATGATTCAATGCAAAGACGGACAAGAGAAATAGATGTGGAGCTCAGTGTACACAGCACTGAACAAAGAAATGAAGAAGAGTGCTAGATTGTACAGGAGACAATTCTGCAACAATCTGGCCACTGAAGCTGAGAAGGCAGCAGGAAGAAGGGACCTTCGAACACTATATCAGATAATCAAGTCTCTATCCAGGAAGAGATCAGCGAAAGTGAAACCTATAAAAGACAGCCAAATGCACCAAATTAGCAAGGAAGACAGACAGATTAAACAATCAACGGACCACTTCAAAAGGCTTTTGAACCGACCACCACCTACAAATGATCCCGAATTACCAACAACAGCACGTACACGACTGCAAGTTGACACCAATCCTCTAACGAGAGCTGAAGTCTTGATTGCAATCAAGCTTCTGAAAGCTAGGAAAGTAGCTGAACCAGATGGAATACAACATGGAGCACTGAAAGCAGACCCAGAGACGACAGCAGATATGCTGTCTGCATTAATGCAAAACGGCTCGAGAGAGGGAAGGGTTTCTACTGACTGGGAGAAGGGATGAGTTGTAAAACTGCCAGATTGTGAGTCGCATAAACTTGGATAGAATTAAGGACGCATCGGATACAGAACTCTGACCAGTAGAAGCTGGATTCAGGAAAGGCAAGTCATGTACTGACAAAATTGCAACTATGCGCATCATCACTGAACAAAGCATCGAATAGCAATCGAGCCTCTACCTCAACTTCATAGACTTTGAGAAGGCATTTGACAACGCTGACCATGAAGTAATTTGGAAACTAGAAATTTGTAACCTAGAAGACCTGAAAGTCACAGATAATCGAAGACCCTCAAGCGAAAACCCACGAACTGCTCGAAGAAGCAGCAAAGACAGGACTCCAGATGAACATAGACATGACGAAGGTTATAAAAATCACCAACTAACAACAACAACAGCAGCAACATCCATCGCCAATCACCTTAAATGGGGGAATTTAAAGAGGTAACTTCATTCACTTATCTAGGGAGCATTTTCTCAACTACACGAAAAACGGACGAGGATGTCACATCGAGATTCAAGAAGGCGAGAAAAACATTCATCAATCTAAAACCAATCTGAAATTCTTCGTCACTCAGCATCAACAACAACTTTCAGTAGGATTTTCAATACAAACGTCAGGTCAATCACTTCTTCTCTACGGATCTGAAACTTGGCGCGCGGGTCACAGAGAATATTTCCAACAGCCTGTTGCAGACTTTCATCAACCAACAACTTTCTTCGCTCTATACTGAAGATCGGATGGCCGAGCCTGAAAGAATCACCAACACGAAACTATGGGAACAAACAAAACAGGAATCAATTGCCCAAAAAGTATGCAGGAGAAAGTAGGGATGGACAAACCCTGGGGAGACCACTGTTGACATCGCGCGTCAGGCCATTGGTCGAGTGGAACCCGAAAGGAAAGCGGTGAGTCGGAGGTCAGTAGAAGGGTGACATGGAGGAGATCGTGTGAATAGGAGTTGAAAGAGTACGGACTAACATGGATACAGGTGAAATGTACAGCAAAAGACAGAAGGAAGTGGAGACATGCATTTGAAGCCTTATGTTCCACTAGGAACCCAAGAGAATAATTATAATAAAATAATGATTAAATGAGTTTCACAGACACGAAATAATTGCACTAAAATGTTATTTTCAAGAAAGTGGTTACTGGCATCCGAGCTTCTCCTGATAACTTTGAAGCCATGGATACAATTTGTTCATGAGGTCTTGTGTTTATTTAAGGAAGAAATCGGTTGTCCATATCACGCCAACTAAAGAAAAAAGTGTTCGAAAGACGTTTGTTCGTAGCATTATCTACTTTATCTGAACTGGAATCAGTACATTCAAGTAACCTTAATCAAACTCCATTTGTATTTTTGCAGCCTAAAAATTGTTTTGAAGTCGCTTAATGTAAACAATTTATTTTCATATCAAGCTGTCATAATTTCTTATTTTGATACAGAAATTCAGAGTAAACCTTTTAGTCAAAAAAAATGGCTGAATTTATTTATCGAGTATTAATGAAGCCGTCATGAGAACTGATTTATTCTAGGGGGAAAGTGTCTTCTAAAATGTTCGCCTTCGTTGTAAACAATGATAAGAAAGACTATATAAGCAGAAGTGAAAATGGTTATCGAAGTAAGTCACAATGAATTTCGGCAAAGAAGCTATACTGCTTATCTGTGTTTCATGCCTGATTGCTCAATATGAATGCGGTAAGTTGAACATTTTAAAACTCGATCGTATTTTATATGTTTTATATGCTAACAGTATTAACATAGTCTCAGGGACAAAATCTCCACATTTTGAAACTAAGAGTGAATAATGATGGTTAAAATAGTTAAGACAAGAAAGCTGGATTTTCTGTCATTGAAAATCAATACACGTACATTAGTAGAAACGTAGGGAAACAAAACGGTCATTGCCGATACACGCCATAAAATTCAAAGAATTAAAGTTAATAATGTGGAAAAGATACTCAAGCGTAAGAGAAACTAACTGAGCACAAATCGATCTGAAGGTAATAAAAAAACCAAGTAGATATTCACTGTCCCATGGAAAACATGGAAATCGATATGATAACACCATTGCAGAATAAATCATAAGTCTACTGAACACTTAAGTACACGAAAGTATGAAAAGGTGCAACTTAAGATGAACAAAATTATAAGTCGAAACCAATTACTTTTTCATCTTATAACATAAAAAGGAGGTAAGTCCGATACAAACATTCTCATGTAAAAAGAAAATTTTGACATTTCATATGATAAAAAGCAAGTTTAGTTAATAGACCCATTTAGTAGAGAAACAACGAATATCTCCGCACAAATATTTCTGGCAAGCTAAAGGTTAACAATTTATGAGACTATTCTATCTGCACGATTGCATTTTATCTATCGGGACCTGTTTCTTTCATTGTTGTTAATTTTCTTCTCTGTTATTTACTTTTCACTAACTTCTTTTTTTAAGCTGGTTCAATTTTCTAAGTAAAATTGTGTTTATTAATTACTTGTCCAGTCGATTCATAGTCCTTAATAAGAATTCTTGCAGATTCTAGTTTTACCGCTTTCATAATTTCTACAGTATCTCATTCAGTTCAGAGTCCGTACTAATCCGCGTACATAACCATCGAAGGAATGTATATATATATATATATATGAAATGTGTCGTGCAGGTAATTTCTGTTTTCGGATGCAGCTCATGCATACAATTTATTTTTTGTTGAATTTCTTGGTTTCCACCATATTGGATGAATCGATTGCTTTGGTTTTTGTGCCGAATATATTTCAAACAGTCTCAAAATTCAATCTTCTAATTCAAAGATACTGAATATTTGTGACATAATGAATTTTCTTGTAGTTTTTGATAATTGTCAATACAGATGTTCAATGAAGACGTAAATGAAGAACCTCTCATGACAGAGATTTAAAATAGGTTCATTTGATATTAAAACCTGCGCTGAAGATGTTACCTTGAAGGAGAGCGTAATCTCCGGAATTCAATCCAATGCGTTGCTGAATCGAAATAGCTCTTCTTTTCTTATTTCCTGTTTCGAAATTTGGTCATGATATACAGTATGAATCCTGATTTCCTAATAGTTTTCCTTCTCAGGGTAAAGTTTTTCATTACTTAGATTCAATCTTGGCGCTTTGATTGAGCGTAAACTCTTTGTAAACATCCAGTGTGATCACTGACGTTTCATATGGATCACTTCCCTTAACACATTTCTCTTCTATGATCAAAATATTATTTTCATGATTATTTGCTATACTGAGTTATATATCGCCGGTTAGCAGGGCTGTTAACAAGACTAGTGTCTCAGTAATTCAACGTTACAACAGATAGTGGAACTAATACTCCTAGAACTGTAAAGTTTTTAGTATCCCAAACGGTGTTCACCTACTTTCATTATAGTTTCATACAAATAGAGGCTAACATAATATCTATCTATTTGTGACGGATTCAACATAGTGAAACTAAAATTCCACATCTCTGGATGAATGGAATATTGCTTATATCTTAGAAACCTTCTGTCTCTTATTCCACAGATTTCTTTTGACTGTTGCGATTTAACATTATGATGCCTTTATTGTGGTCGTTTTTGATTATTATAAGTTTCATATCCAGGCAAAAACATTCGACTAATCATTCATCAATTTTATCTCAAATGTACTTGGACAGATGGTGAGTTTATAAGTATTTATTTTACACTTCCTTGTGAATATGGAAATTTATTGAGTGTGGTCATCGATTCCACTGACATGAATTGCTTTTCAAGGACAACATAACAGGACAACCGAGTTTTGGTAAATATCACAATGTTCAGTTCACAGTATTGCTCAAATTTACAATAGATTCATGTTTTTGCTTGAGTTTTATTCGCATAGACCACCTAGAAGTGAAATTTATTCACCAGTGTATTTGGGCATATAAATGACTGAATACATTTAGTAGAAACCTCGACCTGGAGCTCAAATGTTGATGTATAGCTGATTTAGTGGCTGATTCAGAATATGTTTCCCATTGAACAGTGTCTTATTTATGGTGACTATGCAAATAACATGAAATAGTCCGTTTCGAAATATTTCCCACGAATAAAGCACTACATTTGAATGAATCTTCATATTCAATGACAAATCTTCTCACTTTCACACAACATATCCCATAAGCGTCAACACAGTGAATCTATTCAATGTTTATACACTGGTGATGTCCAGATTTTGAGTCCAACATATTTTTGATTATTTGTTCTGTTTGCCAAAAGTCTGTGGAAATAAAGAAACCCAACTAAATCAAGTTGACTTGCCAGAGTGTCGCCCATTAGGTAAAACACTAACATTCCATTACTTTTAAAATTTATTGAGGCTATTATCATTTAGAAGCTTTGGGAAAAGTACCAACTTATCATAAAGAACAAGAATAAAACAGCACATTATGACGCTGTGTGCTTCCGTTTGTACCGAAAACTAATGCGATACTGTCTGATGTCTGAGTCTACATTCTGACAATTTTTACACAGAAAATTTTCTATTTAGATAGTTTACTTGTTACTGGGTATTGCTCACAGCTTAGATTATCTGGATAACAGGAGTGTGTTGAAGACACTTTTGTACTTTTATTAAAAAGCTTTCTTTTATAAACAGAAGTCTTTCCGTTAATAACCCGTTTTACCTGGATTCTTGAATTATTATTTTTATTAATTATTATTAAATTTCTGAATAAAAATAAAAATATTTATTTGTATTGGCGTATCAAACAGTGGTGGAATTGAGAAAAGTTTCCGTACGGTGAATTCTGAATACCCTTAAAACAATTCGCTGGTTATGTAAACTTTACCTCAATGATTGAGGAGAATACGTATGACAAACGTTGTATTTTGGGGAATCACATCTTCATTTGACTTCCAAATGAAGGCAGTGTCATTTTGCCATGTTTAAAGTCCCTTATCACATTTCAATAGAACGTCATGGGGGTGTTTTTCAAACTACATACACTATCAGGAATATCACATGCAGAAGAGTGTGTTGATAATTTAAGAATTTTCAATAAAACTACTACAAGGATAGATTATGGAAAAAACTTTGTAACATATGCAGGGGAATACCGAGTGAAAGCATTTGTTTATCTTTTACTTCTTTATTCTTCTTTTGCTCTTAACTTACCTGTCTGCATAATGTGACAGTTTATTAGGCTACCAGATAATCATAATACTTTACGCAATATGTTAATTAAGTTCTTTTTTCAGATGCATTCAATAGTGTTTATTCAGTTATAGTTCTAGGAGAATCTGCAGCGATCACTCTGGCATTTCCAGTCGAAATTTGTACCCTGGAAGTTGTATGAACGTGTAAAAGTCACATATAAGACGTTCTAATTAATCAGTCAACTACCTGAAATATAATGCTCGTATAATTCTTCTGTTGAAACTTAGGATCACCAAATCACATCTCAAAGTCATTCATCGAAATACAAGTTAAATCCTTGAATCCGTGTGTATAAAGATAGTGAAATTCAGAAATTCATTATTTGAACCAAAGTATGTATCGCCGCTCTCGCTGAATATATATAACTTCAAGAATCCATTATATCATTTTCAAGTAAAAAACACACCTGAAACAATCCACAGCAACAGTTCACTGTTTGTCTAGCAACTTTATTGCCGATTCACTTTGTTCAAATTATATTATTGGTCGGATTTGGGTAGACAAAGAAGCCGATTTTGATTGAGATTTTTAGAACAAAATTTCTGCCATAATGATATAAGCGTACAATATATGTACGGAATTAAAACACTGCCTAATCACCGACGACATTTTATGTGATTATATACCACATTTGGATGATAAAACATCCCTGGGTGTAGTTCACACAAGTTTTTTATAATAAAACTTTATTTTTGGAAATATATTTTGAAAAATTTAAATTTTTTCATTAAAAAATTTCGTTCCTTTTCCCTATAAAAGTGGACTTCAGTGATTTTCTCTTTATTTTATCACAATACATTTTCAGTCTTTAAGCGTAAGTTTCAAAGAGTACTGTCTTCTAAAGACTACTGTGTATATCAGCGAATTCAATCTCAGTGTTTTCAAAAACCTGAGATGTGTTTTGCAGACAGACATTTCAACTTTTGACATGAACCATCATATTTGTATCCTCCCATTTGTCACTACAAAAGATGGAGGAAATAACTGCAAAGATTTTGTAGACCAAATAGAAATAATGCCTTGAATCCGCGAAATTCGGTTATTGTTGTATAACTACACTCAACGTTCCTGCATTGCCCCGTCGTCACACTTTCAAAATATGATACCAGGTAGACGTATAGATTGCGAAATGTATTGATGTTTAAACAGATAGAAGTGAATTTACTGTTGCCAATTCCATCAGAATGTCAGGCTTGAGCAGTTTATCTATTAATAGACTTATCTCTTTCAATAAATCTGCTTCTCAACTCGACCCATAACTATAGTTTAAATAACTTATATAAACGATTTCAGTTCGTTTTGTTATGATGACTAAATTACACTTATATAGACAGTTGACAGTGGTATTTACTGCACCCAGATTCTTGTTTGAATGTTGTATTTGATACTTTGATACTACTGAATAAGTCATGTCCACGATGAATCGATTCTCAATGCTTCCTTTTAATCTTACTACGTACTCTAACAATGGATGACCTGTTGTGAATGCCTAGAAGACGTCGTGATTTCAT